CTAGCTCATATACCTGCGAGTGAAGGGTTTGTGAATGGGCTCAAGGGGTCTGTGAGCACCAGACATTCCCTAGCTCAACAGTGTATATTTCTGAAAAGACTATATGTAGGAGTCAAACTGCCCAATCATAAGATAGGAAAATGATCAGATTTTGGAGAGACTTCTGAACAATTTTCCAAGCTTGCACCAATTTCCACTCACACAAGTTATGCACAAAAGATCCAGTTGCTCTTCATACTAAGAAAAAATTAATATTGTCAGTCTTTTTAATAGCTCTTCTGGTGGGTATGGTTTGAATTGGCATTTTGCTGCTATTGATGTGAAGAAAAGTTTTACGTGTTCTTGTTCATTTGAAAACGCTGTGTCATAATGTGCTTGTGCATGTGCTTTTTCTTCCACCTTTTAATAATTGAATCTTCTTTTTTCCTTATTTGTAGTTATTTTATGTATTTTGTATGCTAGTTTTTTGTCGGTTATACATATTACAATTATCTTCTTAATATACTCCAGTGTATGAATATTTACTTAAGTAAATACTTTTGTCTGCTCTTTAAGAAATCTTTCTGTACTGAGACATGATGAAATCCTCCTTTGTTATTTGTGGAGACTTTGTTGTCATTCGTGTTTGATATTTCATCCCCCTGAGATAAAGATCAAGATATATATATTTTTTTCCTGTTTTTTACAGTAACAGTTGATTCAGTGCCATTTATGGTATTTACCCAATTGAGTCAATACCACTTATACACTTTATCCAATTAATGCAATACAACTTATGGAAAAGACTATCTTTCTTATTCCCTCCCTATTCTACAATACGTATCTTCTCATAAATCAATTATTTATATATTTCTGAATCTGTGTAGTTTATTCTTTTATTAATTTATATACACTTGCATCAATACCAAATTGTCTTAAATTCTATTATTTTGTAGTTCTTGATATTTAGCAGTGTAAGCACTCAAAGTTTGTTGTTGTTCCCCAATATTCTCTTACCTATTTCTGCCATTTGCATTTCTATATAAATCTTAGAATCACTTATAAATTTCCACCAAACAATAAAAATGAAAAGGCACCCTGCTGGTATTTTGATTGTGATTGAACTTAGTCTATGATCAGTTTAGAAAGAAATGACATCTTTATAATACTGCCTTAATCAAAAACAACACTAATTCTTTATGTAGTTCTTTTAAAGTTTATGTTAATGATGATTAACAGCTTTCTGTGCAGAGTATTTGCATATATTTTGATAGATTTATCCCCTGTGTATTTGATATTTTTTTGAAGCTATGGTGAATGACATTTAAAAGTTTTTTTAAAATTTTCTGTGTGCTGTATATAGAGTTGATGATCATATGCTTATATTTATCCAAAGACCCTGTTAAGGCAACTTACTAATTCTAATTCTTTATGTGTAGATTTTCTTTTTTGTATTTTTCTAAAAACACATTTCCAGATAATGATTTGTTTTCCTTTCCAATCTTTAAATCTCTGATTTATTTTTCTTGTCTTACTACCATTGCTAGGCTCTCCAGTTAAATATTGAATACTATGTATCCTCCTCTTAATTCTGGTCTTAGGGGGAAAAAAATCTTTCAACATTTTACCATTAAGTATGTATAAAGTTTGCTGTATACTTTTTTATAGAAACCTTTATCAAGTTTTTATAAAGTTTATTTTTATTTCTAGTTGTTATACATTTTCATAATGAACAGCTACTTAATTTTTAAACAACACATTTTCTTTTAAATTTGACTTCATCTACATCATATATTTATATATGTAATATATTATTTTCATCCCATTCATATTTTTTCTGATTTCCTATATGATTTACTTTACAAAGGTTATTTAGAAGCTAACATGAGCTGAATTTGCTATTGATATTCAGCATAATTTCATTAACTTGAGAGAACATCTTCTTTGAAATTTTTGACAGTTGTTTATGGGCCAGCATTTAACTAACTTTTATAAATATTCTGTCTTGAAAATATTGTGAATTTTGTAGTTATTAAATGCTATTGTCCATTGATTACAATATATCAAGTTTGCTTATGGTGTTTTAAATATAATATATGTGCTTACTGATTTTTAAATCCTTTACCAATTACTAGTATAAATGTATTAAACTATTTACTTATTTGTACATTTGGCTATTTTTTTAAATTCAGTCAATTTTTCTTTATACATTTTGAGGCTGTTACCAAGTGCATTCAAATGTGCAATTGCAATGTATTCGTGGTATATTGAACTTTCATGCCTAAGGAATTTCTTTCTTTATCCTTAATGATGCTTTGTGCCTAAATACTTCTTTATGTCATATGAACACAGGTACATTTCATCTGGTTAATATTTACATAACATTTTTTGTATATTTTATATAAATATGTTTCTTATGTTTTTGGTCAAGTCTTCTTTTAAACCCTGTCTTTAGCTTGTTTCATTCTTATTCTTTCAATCTTTGTCTTTTAATTTGAGCTTGTGGTTTATATAAATCTAATATAATTACTGTAAATTTGGATTTAAATATGAAATGTTTTTAAGCTCTTCTATTTTTATGCTTACTTTATGTTCCCTTTCCTTTATTGCCTTTTCTTGGATTAATTAAATATTTCTTTTCTTATTTCATGATTTATCCTCTACAAGCTTGGAAACTAAATGCACTTGTCTCATTCTTTTAATGATTACCTTAGACATCACAGTATACATTCTTAACTTATTAGAGTCTTGTAGTAATTAATAATTTTATCCTCTTCCCTGATGTTGCAAGGACCTATTATACTTTAACTTTATTTTTTTTCCCTCCTGATGTGTGCTACTGCTGTTGTATATTGTAATTACACACACGCACATACACACACACACAGTATACAGGTGTTCCTTGACTTATGATGGGATTACTTCCCCACAAACCCATTGTAAAATTGAAAAATCATGTCAAACCGTCACAAGTCAGGGACTGTCTCTGTATGTATGTATTAATATGTGGGTACTTCAAAAAGTTCGTGGAAAATAGAATTAAAAGATAACACAAATCTTCCCATAAACTTTTTGAAGTACCCTTGCGAATATATAGGCAAACATTAACATATTTACCAATTTCATTGTTCTTCATTCTTTCTGCATCTTTGATCTTCCAGGTAGAATATTTATTTTTCCTCCTCAAATAATTCTATCTATACCTTTTAATTAAGGTCATTTGGTAACAAATTTATATATTCTGTTTCTGAAAATACCTGTATTTTTACTTTTATTGCAATTGTATAGGTTTTTTTTAAAAGTAAGATTCAGCTTGGTAGATATTTTCTTTCAGCATATTGAGGATATGTCATATTTTTCTACCGTTACAATTAAGAAATCGTCTGAAATCCTACGTGTTACTACTTTGAAGATGTTATCTTTTATTCTGGAGCACTTTTCTTTGAAAAAAGCACTTTCTTTGAAAGATTTTTTTCGTTGCATTTGATTTTCAACAGCTTCACTATGATTTCACTAAAATAGTTGTTTTTGTAGTTATTCTTATTTGGGTTCACAGTGATTCTTTCATCAGTGGTTTGTATTTTTATTGACAGTGTTGGAAGTTTCTCAGCTGATATCCCTTCAAATTATGTGACTACTTTATTCTTTCTGGCCCCTCTCCTTCTTTGCTCACTTTTCTGTATTTTCCATCCTTTTGCCTCTCCATGTTGCAGTACAGCTACTTTATAACCTATATTCCAGTACGCTCATTCTGTTTTGTTTGATTTAATCTGCTGTCAACCTCATCCATTGATTTCTTAATTTTATTTGAATTTTTTTGTTTCTATATTTTCCAGTTAGCTAATTTTTATATAATTTATAGTTTAATTATAAAATTCTCAATTTTGAATGTAGTATATATGGTTAGTTTAAAATCTGTGTCTCACAACTATAATACTTGGGACCCCTGTTTTTCTGTTTGCGTTGTCCATTTGTTTCTTTTCATTTGCATTCATCTTGGCCTGTGGTGGTGTTAATTTTCTCCATTTTTTTTTTCTTTGCTGGTAATTTCAGGATACACTACCTCTATTATACTCATTGTTTGTGAGGAAGCTGAGGAACAGAAAGATCATGTAACTTCTGTAAAGTTACACAGTAAATGGCAGGGCCAGGTTTTGAGCTATGGTAGTCTTACCCAATACAATGTACTTTCTCCTGTATTATGCTATACAGACTTCCTATCTACCAACCTGAAGAAATGCCATTGAAAATGGCCCTTTGGGTACTATTTATTTGCCATTACAGGCTAGTGATACATTTGTGACTCTGACTGCTAAAAAGCAATTATACAGTATAGTATGAGATATTTGATAAATTGTGAACAACAAAAATATGTTGGAATTTTTTACTCCATTTTAAAATTAACATGCTTCACAACCTGGTGCAATAGGGAGTAGAGATTGCAGCTTCTCATTTAAAGAAAAAAGGACTATTTGGGAACAACAGATCTCTGGGCTTTATCTTTAAACTGAGAATCCCTGCTCATTAGTGTGCAGGATGTGCACTTCTAAGCATTAAAATACAAGTATCAAAAACAGTGTGTAAATTTATTTTCATATATAAATGTGTGATTAATATGTGAAATCTTCCTTGAAAACTATTATAAACATTATCTCCAAGATATAGCATACAAAATTGAGCTCAGTGAGCTTAGATAATTTGCCATACTCACACAGCTAGTATGTGATGGATCCAGGTTTCAATCCCTGTTCTCTTCTTTTAAATTTAATCTATTCACAATCCAATCTTTCAGACTTGACAATTGCAAAACTGGATAATTATTTGTGTTTAAATGAAATAGTGGAAACCTATGGGAATACTTAAACTCTAATTTTGATTAACAAATGGTAGCTGAGTGAAGTGCATTTTGAAATTTCTCATTTAGTTGATTTTAATAGAAATTTAGTCATTAAACATGGTTTTTCTTTCCCCATAACATAACATCTTAAGACTGTTTTTAATTTAAAGTCTTTTCCCCACAGGGATGTATATAAAATACAATTCTTCTCATCATCCTCATCACCCAAAAAATTTTACAGACAGAATGACTGTTCCAAATTCAATAAGAAAATTTATGATGTGCTGCACCACTTGAGTGGAAAACTGCTACCTGGATTTAATTCAAGTCAGTCTTTACCTGTGGATAACACTGAAAGGGTGATTCAACTTCATTTGCAACACTCCTCACTTTTGGACTTTCTCAAGTAAGAGCACAGATGTGCTAATTCAAGCATGTAATTATGGATTGGATAGATAGATAAGTACGTGGGTAGATAGATAGATAGATTTCAATATTGTCTTTTTACCAAATATTCATTTTTTCAGCATGCATATATACATATATTTTTCCAAGGTGTGTAGTATGTATGTATGGGAAAATAAGCATTTCATAATCTATTGTATTTAAAATATAAGGCAATCACACTCAAACTTCATCAGGCATCCAAATCACTGAGAGGGCTTATTAAGACAAGTTGCTAGCCCCTACAATAGAGTCTATGATGTTAATTTGCATTTATAACAAGTTTCAAGTTGATGGTGATAATTCTGATCCATGACCTCATTTTGAAAATTCTGATCTCAGGCAAATGCATCATATAAATCCATTGATAAGAAAAAGGATGAAAAAAAAAAAGAAAAAGGATGAAACCAATAAGCTTTATTCATCAAGTTACAGTTGGTGATGGATACTGTGAACTTTCAGTCTTCTTAGTTAAAGTCTTTTATATTAAAATAATAGCCAGGTGAAAAGCTCCATGAATGGTTGTTAGAAACTATAGAAAAAATATTTGACATCATAATGTCTGGGTTCCTCTGCAGAGATTAAATGGCAAGTGGCCAAGAAATAGAAAAGCAATGTTCATTAAAAGTCTGAGGGGAGGGCTTCTTTTTGCTTGCATTTGCAGCATCCTTGTCCACTGAAACTCCCCACATCTAAAGGCAGGGATCTCCATCTTCCATGCCACTAACATAACATTTATTACTTGTAATTATTATGTAATATGTTTAATATATTCTGAAATATATCAATATGCTTTTTTTCATTTGCTGTTTTGTGTATGGAATCTGCCTGTATTAGTCCATTTGTGTTGCTATTACAGAAATATCTGAGACTGGGTAATTTATAAAGAACAGAGGTGGTTTATTTGGCTTACAATTCTGGGACAGCTGCATCTGGCAGGGGCCTCAGGCTGCTTCTACTCATGGTGGAAAGCGGCAGGCAGACAGTAGGTACAAGCTGATCACATGGTGAAAGGAAGCAAGAGAGAGAGAGAGGAGGTGCCAGGTCTTTTAAACAACCAGCTCTCATGAGAACTGATAGAGTGAGATCTCACTCAGGCCCCCCTCCCCCAAGGAGAGCATTAATCCATTCATGAAGGATCTGCCCCCATGATTCAAACAGCTTCCAGCATTGCCACATTGGGGATCAGATTTCCAAATGAGTTTTGGTGGGGACAACACATCCAAACTCTATCACTGCCTCATAGTTGGCCAGAAATATTCACTGTTAGCAAGAGTGGAGATGAAGGGCAAAGGAAGGACTCAGAGCAGGAAGAATGCTAATGAAACACTTCACTTTTAGTTTTTTATTGAAAAATCAGTATTTTCCGAGTCCCTAGCAATACTATGTATTAAAAGTTGGGCATGGTACTGAAAAAAGTATTTTCTTTCATTTCTTAGGTTCTCACTATCATGGTAATAGCTAAAACTGGCTTGGGTTTTTTGTGACTCGGAAGGGAGCTAGAAGTTTCTAAATCACTACAAGTGACTGAGACAAGACCCAGGCAGCTTGTCATGGAGTCTATTGTTTTGGGAATTTAAAAGGACCCCACTGAAAATGCAGAAGGGTAGCTAATGAGTGGCCCTGAAGTTACAGTATGAATGACGTATATATGAGGACTGGGTAGTGGTTGAGTCAGTTATGGGAGAACTTGTCCTTTTGTTTTTGCTTTACTCATATTTTTGAAAAATTGGGTATAATTATGGGGTACTGTATTAGTCCGTTTTGTGTTGCTATAACAGAAATTCCTGAGACTGGGTAATCGATAAGGAAAAGAGGTTTTTTGGCTTACAATTCTGGGACAGCTGTGTCTGGTGCAGGCCTTGGGCTGCTTCTACTCATGGTAGAAAGCAGCTGGTGGGTACAAGCAGATCACATGGCAAGAGGAAGCAAGAGAGAGAGGGGAAGGTGCCAGGGTCTTTTTAACAACCAGCTCTCGCCAGGAACTAATAGAGCAAGAACTCACTCATTAATCCTCCTCCCCCAGGGAGAGCGCTAATCCATTCATGAGGGATCTGCCCCCATGACTCAATCAGTTTCCAATATTGCCACACTGGGGATCAAATTCCCACATGAGTTTTGGAGGGGACAACACATCGAAACTCTATCAGGTACACAGTGATATTATGACATGCGTGTACAGTGTGTAATTATTGAGTCAAACTAATAAACATATCACCTTAAATACTTATCATTTATTCTCCTGTGTAACTACAACTTTGTACCTTTGACCAACATCTCCCAATTCCCCGCATCCTCCAGCTTCTGGTAATCATTCTACTCTCTATTTCTATAGGCTCAATTGTTTTACATTCTGCATATAAACAAGATATAAAAGTACCTCTCCTCTGTCTCATGTAAGCCCAAATGCATGGCTCATCCAGGTTCTGCGAGGTCTTATACAATTTGGGAGGCCCTCCATTATGAAATAATATCAAATAGAAAACAAAAATTAAATTTATGACATTAGAAGGTAATCATGAAAGTAAGAAAACCTGAAGTTGTAGCTTTATTTACTTGACAATGAGTCTGCCTCTTCTCAGATGTTATTTTGCATCAGGTTGGGGACTGAAAGTTTGAGTGTTTATCACAAAGAATAGAATTACCCTGAAGAGACCATTGAGGTTAGAAGACACAAAATACATGAAGATGCCAGGTTGCATTTTCTCTTTTTCCTTCTATATCCGATCTAGGTGGGAGAATGAGAAAGATTATATGAGTTAAGGAAAATAGCACAACGGTGTGGAATTATGTAAATTATTTTCAACTCCACTGACTCATCCTTCCATCAGTGAATCCCACTAATTTGTGATTGTTGTCTTGAGGGAAGAAACTACATCTCATTTATCAGGCATTTCTATCACCCACACGTCATTGATAGCACAAAATAAGACCAATGTTCTTTAAATATTTATTTCTTAACACTTTCTTTCCTAGAGCTTTGCTTTTGGAGTTTGTACAGTATAAGGGATAAAACTTTGAAACTGGGTCTCAGGCCAGTCATATATGAATGAGAAAAATGTTGTGAAATATAAAAAGTAGGGGTAAAAGAAGAACTGATAAAGGATTTGCTTTCCAGGAGGGTGGGTGTAACCAGTGAGAGAAGGTGAAGGTGGAGAAACGTGAATCGTAAACATTGAACTTTATTTATATTATTAAACTATGGACTCATAAAGAATGTTAATAATTAATGCATGCATTTCATCATACCTGTTTTAGTTTGCTTGGGCTACCATAACAAAGTACCACAGACTGGGTGGCTTAAACACCTGAAATTTATTTTCTCACAGTTCTGAAGGCTGAAAGTCCAACATCAAGGTGTCAGCAGAATTAGTTTCTTCTGAGACCTCTTTCCTTGGCTTGCAGATGTGAACACATGCCTTCTCTCTGAGTCCTCACATGGTCTCTCATCTGAGTACACAAGCCCCTGGTGTCTCTCTATGTGTTCGAATTTCATCATCTTATAAGGACTCTAGTCAAATTAGATTTAAGCCAACTCTAATGACCTAATTTTACATTAGTCACCTCTTTTAAGACCCTAACTCCAAATATAATCACATCCTGAGGTACTGAGATTTTAAGTTTCAACATAAAATTTTGGGGGTTGGACATAATTCAGGCCATAACAGTACCATATGTATTGTATTATTAAATTATGTAATTGGACGTTGTGTTTTGCAACAAACTTTACATGGATATATTTGCAAGAATATGCTTAATGTTTCTTGTCGTTTGTGCCTGTTATGGACTGAAATGTGCCCTACCCCAAATTAATATGTTGAAGACTTAATCCCCAGTGTGACTGTACTTGAACATAAGGGCATTAAGGAGGTTATTAAGGTTAAACGAGGTCACATGGGTGGGACCTTAATCTGATAAGACTGGTGTCCTTATAAGGAGAGGAACAGACACCAGAGGTCTCTCTCTCTCTCTGTCTCTCTGAGTTCAGAGAAAATGTTATGTGAGGACGCAGTGAGAAAGTAGCCATCTACGAGCCAGGAAAAGAGGCCTCACCTGAAACCAAATTGTCCAGCACCTTGATCTTGCACTTCTTGCCTCCAGAACTGTGAGAAAATGAACTCTGTTTTTTAAGCCACTCAGCCTGTGGTATTTTGTTGTGGCAGCCCTAGCAGACCAATACAGTGCCTAATTATCCTTTGATACAATTTCACTTGTTTGTAATCAGCAATCATTTCTATGATGTGATTTTCTTTGAAAAAATTAGCTTTTTAAAAATGTATGATTTGCATAGTATAAAACTAAAACAGAAGCAGAATATAAACATCTGTGCCCTACATTGTAACTATAAAGTAGAACATCACAAGAATATAAAACTACTATAACTCTTATTTTTGAATTGCATTGAGTTTTTAAATACATAGTTTATCCACCAAAATAAATACACTTAGAAAAAGCAACTCACATCCCCCATTGGTAAATTTAATTCCACTTGTGATTTTCACTTCTTTAATCTTTAAAAATTTTATACTATTCCTGCTTATACATGACCATTATGGTATCTTATTGAATGGGATTGCATCTAAAAATAAAAATATTTCAAAGCAACAATCTAAGAATTGACCCTGGAAGAGTGCACTGAACTGGGGCAAAACAGTGTGGTTTTTGAATCAAGTAGATGCAGGCTTATGTTCTAGCTCTTTCGTATTCCTGTGACCTTGTACAAGTTACTTCACCTATTTTAGTTCCAAGTTCAATACCTGTAAAATTGAGGATGATAATTTTCAAACTTACTTGGATTACACACAATAAAATGTGACACATAGTAGATATAGTTGTTATTAATTTAAATGCAATGAATTATGGTCTAAGGGTTTCATTTGCTAAGAAGTTTTAAAAAATTATTCCAATATGGCAACCATTAGTGGCATACTGAAAACTGAATTTTGTCTATCACTAAAATAGAATGCTTATTTTAAAAATCTGCTCTTCTATTAGAAATTAATGCCTGTCTTGTTGATATAAAAACAATTAAGAAACGCAGTATTTGATAACAACTTTGTCATCACATTTATGAGATAAAATGGAAAATTTATTTAAATTTTTATAAGTACAAAGTAGAACACACATGACTTTTTTTAAAATTTGAATACTTCCTTCTTTTGGTCATTAATGATTGATTCAATAAAGTAAGTCTTCCAATTCAATAAAGCAGAAATTCAAATGCATTTATTTCAGAAAGTTAGTTGTGCTCTTAACCTTTAATGGAGTATTAACCATAAGCAAAAGAAAGGGCTTTTTATGTTTAAGTAAATCCTTACTGTATGTGTGTTGTAGAAATCAAACAATTTCGTGATAGTATCATTGTGATCTATGGTTCTTGTGATCCTTGTGTTGTTCTTGTAGCATTCCTGTTGGCACAGCTTCTGGCAGTGTTGGCATTAACATGGGTCATTTCTGTTTTGACATTTTATGATGTGAGAATGCAGGTATGGAAGATTAATTTTGACATTAAAGCCAAGCCATTCAGATTTATTTGCTTTTTGTCAGCAAATACATGCCTATTAGGATATGTTGACTGTGATAAAATTACTTAACATTTAGAAAGTGGCAGTATGGCTAATAAAATTGAGTCATTAACCCAAAATGTGTGAATATGTTTCATCATGGAAATAAATTGAAATTCAAAATAATCATAAATGTTACTAGTTTCCTTATTTAAATTTGATGACGCAATAGATGAAGACTTTTGTACAAGTGAAATACTACTTTGTGCAATAAATGAGATTCTTAGAGATTAAATTAGATTTTTCTAAAAGTTAACTTTTGGAGATTAAGTTTAGAGTTTAATAACTTATTACATCTAATTTTACTTTTATATACTCAGTGGAAACTCAGAAGAAATGTTCAAATAGAAACCGTAGTATGTAGAAGTGTAACCAAATCAATTATGGAAGTCAACTCTCTGTAAAACTACTGACCAGATATAAAATCTGTTGATAAGGCATAAATGTAAATGCTATCTTATAGACTGATGAAATTAAGCCCTGATATAGATTCAAGATGAAAAGAATGAAAGTAGTCCTGATAACAATGTCAGCCTTTAAAATGCAAAAATGTATTCTTCATACTCAACTTTTACCAAAGGTCTACTCTCTGCTGGACAGTATGGAATACTCAGATAAACAGCCTGTAAGTTATTCCCCTCAAGAAGCTCCCATTTTAATAGCTCCATGATAGCTTTCCTTAGGCTCTCAGTGTCATTTGATAGAAGTGTCCACTTTGTCCTAAAGTCCTGTCTTGGCTTTTGTTACAAGGACGTATTCCAGTTTCTTCAATTTTCTGTGAGTTACTGATCTTTGGTTCATTCCATAGGATTTCAACTTAATGGAAAAATCACCTTGTTGTGTTTTAACATAGGCTTTAGTTCAGCAATTCTTGCTGTGGAGTAATATTTCATTAAAATTAGATTTTATTTACAACTATAGTAATTCAACATCATCAAAGAGAAAGGATGATGTTTGATTTCGAAACAAAGGAGCTTCATGTAGGCAGTCTGATTTCTTCCACTAGCTCAGACTGATCCAGATCTAGGTCAAACTTAACAACTCTAGAACTGTGCTCACTGCTTCCACCACCATGAGAGTTTCTTCCTCACTTCTCTCTTTTCATTCATCTGTGCTATCTTCAAGGTTTGAGTTTTCAGAATCATCTTAATCCTCCTTTCTCCTTTTTCTTTTCCCGACTTCTCAGTAACCACGGGGCTCCAAACTGCTGATGGTACCTCCACAGTTGAGCACTAGATGTAGCATTCTTCTCTGTTAAATGCTTATTGGTGAGCAGTGTTCTATACTCACTAAATGAGTTAGACCTAAACACCCAAATCTCTATTAGGAAATACTTCTGGCAAAATGGTACTAGATTCTACATAGTGGCTCTGGTTGACATTCATATAAAGAATTTGGATAAGAGTATTTCAAGAAATTTGACAGTAAAAAAGTATATATAAAATCTTAAACGTGGTAAATTATGTACATATAAATATGTATATGCCATGTGCTTTAAAATGTATTAACTACTATAAATAGCTATTTGCTGCTTCAGATATACTACCACAAGTTTACATAATCAAACAGTCCACAATTTCCAGATGTTCTCTTTGGAAAAAATAGGTGATGGATTGACTTGTACTTGGAGTGCTCTATATTCGGGCATATGTGATGATAGACATTCAGTAAACATTGGGTGACGAACGATCTTTCTATTAAATATTTATTGCACTCATACTTTTTATAGGTTTCTTTCAATTTTATAATGTTATAACAACAATAATATGGTTACTGCATTGACTACAAGGACCAAGTCGCATAACTCTCTAAATTCCGTTAGCATGTAAGAGTATGTAAGGATGATTATTGGCACTTAGTAAGTTCTTCCTCATTAATCAAATTCTCCCAAGGAAACAACTTTCAAGGAAATATGAGTATTTCATTATTAAGGGGAGTTTTAAAAATTAATTGTATAAATTTTAAATTTAAAAATTAAAATTCAACAAAAACAAAAATATGGCATTACTGAAATATGTAATTTAATTGATACACAGGTCATGAGTCTTATAATATCATAATTTGGGTTTTTCTTTTTTAATTTTAGTACTCAAGGAGGATGTATTTCTCATGTGCTGCCAGAATTTCTTCTTGAACCTGAAGACTATAAGAAGTGGATTGAAATTACGGTAAAGGAATATAATGTCTAGGAACAATCTATACAATTATTATTGAATTTAGTGGTGCTCTGTCTTTGTGAGAAGATTCCATTTTAGAGACCTTGATTTTTATGTATGAAATGTTATAAGGCTCATGCCTCCTTGCATGCCCATTTTTTGTGTGTGCATTTGTCTAAAAATCTCTGTGGAGTCCCTGTGTAAAAACGATTAAATGGATTTCTTAAGTATATAAGTAATTGCTTCTTTGAGGATTTTACAAATGAAGGATCATGCAGGTTTATATAAATTTTGCTCTTAAAATAAATTTTCAGAGTGTATATCTTCCAAAGAAAATATTGGTTTAATTTCACCACCACTTGCCACTTCCCTTCTTCAATTTTCCAGTATAATAGAAAGAAATTAAGCAAAAAAGGCATAGTGCTCTCAAAGTATACAATTCATTTTAAGGAAAGCTATTGAAAAGGGGAATTGTTTTTGAGTAGCTTGCAGTCTTTGAGGTAACTCTAATTTTGCTGTGATACTGTCACTATTCTCACCCTGTGACATGAGCAGGAAAGCCAGGTGCCTGCTCTTCAGCAATATGCTGAGTTCCCATGGCCTAATCAAAGGTCATCACATCTTGGGTATGAGTGGTGACAGTCAGCTTTGTACCCCATGAATATCCATAACCAATTTTAAAAAGGGATGTGGCTCTGTCTTGGCTCAAGCTTCAGAAATTTGCATGTAGTTTTCAGCTTCTACTATAGAGTGAGCTAGTAGAAGCATTGAGTGAATAAACCTATGACCTAAATAAGGTATTATGTGCTGCAGAAAGTTGTGTTTGTAATTCCTACAATTGGCACATGGGGAATTAGAGCTCTTGATGAATGTATAAAGAGGACATGCAAATGTTTTGTAAAAAGAAAAAAAAAAACATATGCAAAGTAGTTAAAATTTTGGACTTATACTTGCCTGACATTTTAATTAACGTTGTAACATTTTGTTTTTTAAAGTCTTCCACTAAAACCAGCCCTGTGAGTTCCTGTACACCTAAGGAAAAGTGTTCTGTTGTTATAGAGATGACTAAGTTTGAAGCCTGCAGTAAAAGGGCATGGACAGATGTATTCCTTCAGATATACAAGGTATCATTTCCACTCTTGTTTGTTGCTTTTTTGGGGTTCATTCACATGAACAGTACATTAGTTAAAGTATTGGCAATGCTGCTATAAAAGATTTAAAAACCTAGTGGCTTAACTGAGATGATTATTTTTTCTTTCTCATGGAACTGTTGAGAAGTGAGTAGTTCAGTTAGTGAAGTATCTCTTCCATCTGAAGTAGTAGGCTTTCATCTATGGATCCAATTTCTCCTAACAAAGAAGAGCAGGTAAACGAGTAGTAGAGGGCAAGGAGATATCTTTTAAGGATGTCACCCGAAAAATGTACCATTTCCATTTAACATTCCTTTGCATAGAATTTAGTCATTATTACCACACCTAGTTGTAAGAGAAGCTAAGAAATATAATCTCTAGTATGGGTAGCTACACACATATTCTGGTACTACAAGGATGAACTAAAGACTCGATACTAGTGAAAATTATGGTGTCCACCTGTAATAAGCAATAGACTCCTGCAAAGAAGTAATTCCAGAGTGTTATTCACTAGGATTCATACAACTGTGGGTGAGATCAGGTTTTGATGAAATTCTCCAATTAACTTCATGCCAAATTGCATTTATGGTTAGATTAACATAGCATAAATTATGCCTTTACATTGTATCTCTTTATTGCATACCTAAGTCCTGGTTTCAGCCCAATAATCATTCCCTAGGTTTCCACATGTGGCACTATAGATCTTGTCCATCAAGACCAATGGAGGCTTTTGCTCTGTCTTCACACTTGGCAACCACAGATGAGTGAGCTGTAGGACTGAGAGTTAGAACAAGGAATAAGTTAAATTGAAGCAAGAATTAGTTACTCAAAGGAAAGGACAAAATTAAGTGAGTAGTAAGTGCAAGACTCTGTAACTACGTTTTTTTTTTTTAAATGTGATCTTATTTAATCCTTACAACCATTAATCTCTAGTTTAGAAATGAGCAAACTTAGGCTCACAGGCACTCATACTTTCTTCCAAGAAGATCACATGAATTTGGCCATATCAGCAATATGATGTAACTAGTGCTTATTTTTTCCTTGTTCTCTGCTGGGGCCCAGGAGTGCAGGGCTCTCGTGCTGCCCTCCAGCAGTCTAAAGCTTCTATTGCAGGCAGCCATCCAGACCCACCATCTGGAGATTTCCTTCTGCTGCCTCATTCCCACTTACTCCTTCTGTCCTCCTTCTCTTCCTCCAGTGACCTTCCCTGTGTGTCTCTTGATGAGGGTCAAGAGGAGAAATCCTGTCTTTTCTTGGGTAACTTCCACAAGAAGGTATGAGGGTATTTGGCACTCTCAGCCAAACACAGGTTTGAAAAAAGATATTTGCTTTTCTTTCTTAACTCCAGGCTACATCATCTATATTCTTGCCCACCAATAAAGAGGAGCAAATCCAAAACAGAAAAGCAGAAAATTCCCTCCTCTATGGACAAATAGACGTAATTTTGGCTCATGAGTTTTATTCACTCACTCACTTCTTTTTTCATTTGTTCATGTATTCATATGTAGGTTTTGTTTGTTTAATTTATCATTCCCAACCAATTCTCTATGGATTTAGAAACCATATATCACTTCTAAACTCAGAACTTAATAGAGTATGAGGTACATAGTAGATGCACAATAAATATTTGTTAAATGAAGTTATTCAACAACTATTGTGGTCCAGAAACTATACCAAGCTCCAGGAGTGCAAGAGTAAACTTTATATAATGTGTCTTCTCATGGATTTTATGTCCTGAAAGAGGATACAAGCAACTAAACACATAATTCAAGGAAGTATGGCAAATGCTACAACAAGATAAGCCCCTAAAACTATGGATGAATGCATATCGAAAAGAACATAACTTTCTTGTGCCTTGGGGAAGTCTTTCAAGAAGATCAGTTTAAACTTAGCCCTCAGGAATCACTAGGAGTTGGCTAGGCAAGGTGTGGTATAAGTTGGAGAGAAAGGTAGCATAATATGTGTAAAGAAGATCATAGGTGGGTTTTATTTGGGGGTGGAGCAGCCAGACTTTTTCCAGACAAAGAGAATCAGTGTGGAAAATCCTTGAGGTTAGATAGAACATTGAATTTTCTGAGGAATAAACAGTATGCTGGGAGTGAGGTTGTTGCTTTTTGTGGCTTTACCCCCCATGGATTTGTCACCCTACTTCCTCTGGGTGACAGAGATGCAAAGGATGACTCAAAGCCCATCTCTTCTGAGCAGTGAGAGTCCCTGAAGTGGTTAATCTTCCCGGGGCTCTCCAGCAAGAGGAATGCATGGGAAATTAACCCCGAATTGGGGTTCTCTTCCTGCATTTATTTTCCAGACCAGGAAGTTACAGGAAGAGAACATAGGTGGGGTTATAGTTTAACAATATAGCCTGGTAACTCTCAGTGAAACAAGTCAGATGACATTCCCTTAGACAATTAAGTAATCCATTAACAAAGGTTGATCTTAGCAAATGTTCCTTCTTCCCCAGCAATTTTCCAGTATCTTTATATAACAATCAGTAACTAGTCTGTCCTTGAGCCAGCAACCTTGCTGTGCCACAATTCTTTATCTTACACCAGAGACTTTATACCCTGAGGAAAGTTTCCAGTCCTGTGCAAGGTCAATATTTGAAACTGCAAGGCTTTGGAAAACCAGGCCCTGTGAAGTACATATGCTTTATAGTGTATTCCACATGAGGTGGGCTTAGAAACATTAGATCATGGTTCACTTCAATTAAATAAAAATTTTTTCAATGACACTTGTTGAAGCATGGTAATGCAATTTTCATTCAGGGCAATCAGAGCGGTGGAGAGATTGGGCTCAACTCCAAATACAACATGGGCAAGTATGAATTTATAGCCAAGGAGTATGGTGGGGGTCAGTGGATGGAAAATTACCAAGAGATATGTTACACTTTCCTCTGTGTAACTGAGATGGAAAAAAGAGAAAGAAAGAATTCACTCAAAGTACCATCAATGAGGCACGGAGGGACTGCCGCCCATCAGGGGAGCAGCAGCCCTGACTCAAAATCAGCCTTTCTTTTTATTGACAAGAAAAGGAAGTTTCCCACAAGAAAAATCAGTTGATTCAATCATCAAAGAAGGACAAAAACAGGCAGTGTAAAACTCGTAACAGCAGTAAATTATCAATGTGACACTCCAGAATGTAATTTGTAAAAAGCTAGGTCAATTCACCAACAAACAGCTTGTCCTTAGTAAACATTTTTTTGTACATACTTCCTACAGTGATTTCTTTAGCATATTTAAACAGCATTCAAGCAGTTCTCTTAACATATCTAAAGAAGAATCAGTAGGTTAAATAGTCAATAGTCATTCAAGCCAGAATCAAACCAGCAACCTAAAACAGTCAAAGTACACAATCCCATCCCTAAACAGTGATTAGAATTGATTAGATGGCTTTTGTGAAACTTATCTGTGGACTTTTGTCCCCTACTCAAGAGCCATTTGGCTCATTCATGCATTACCTAAAAATCCTATTCTAAGATCAAAGGAGAATCAAGATTTCTAACCCACTACAGAGATAACATCAGGAGTAAGAGGGGGATTCTGGCTAAACCGGACATAGCAAGATTCTGGCTAAGAGCTAGCCAGGGTGAGCAGACATCACATGGGGGATGGTGAAGGATGAGGACCCCAAGTAGATATCTAAGCTAATCAGATATCAAGGGTAGGTGTCTAAAATAGCTATTTTCTTGCATTATATTCCTAAATCACAAAAATGTATTGATGTCTAAATAATGGGTCATCGAAGCATAAGAGAGGTGGAAAACAAGAACAGAAACACTCAAACTAAGGATGCTATTCTGAATGTAAATATAAACAGGGTTCCCATGTGAATACAAAGGATGACTCTGTACGTGCTAAAGAATGAATGTGATATTTTTGTAGAAGTCCCTTGGAAAAGAAAAAGGTTATGAGAAACAAACATGTGAATAAGTTAATCAATTTGTTTACTTATTTGTTCCTAGTGTATTATCTGTTGTTAAGTTTTGGGTTTTTTTTTTAAATAGTGGCACAATTCTATCAATTTTTTTGTATGTTTGAAAAAAGAGCAGCGATTTTCCTTATTAAACATTTTTTTTCAAACTAATTCAAAATCTGTATATAATATAACAAAATTGGGATATTTATTGTTATAGGTAGGCTAGACACCAAATCTACAGTGGCATTTTTCAGATTTGGTATCCAGTACAATACTGAACACAGGACTCGTTGAGTTATAGACCCGTTTCCCCTCCAAATGGTGCTCAGACGCTTGGATTATTTTTTATTTTTTAATAGTTTTTCATCATTCTCTTGGTTTATGACACTTACTTCTCTTGCCTTTCTTTGCTGTTATCAATGTGCCTGCTTACAGTACTTCTTTTTCCTATCACTTGTAATTTTATGTGAGTGGCCTAAGAAACTAGATATCCAGCCTTATTAAAATTTTCTGTAAAATTAAAGCAAATGGGCTTTGACTTAAAGTGCACAAACAGGTTTTCATACATTAAGTGGAAGAAAGTTAACTTATAGACTTTGAAATGTCAAGAATTGTAATTTAGAGTATTTACATATGCATGAACTATGTTCTTGGAATATGTACTTGCTGGCTTTCCTCTGTGAGCTTTTTCTACATAGTTGAGATTTGGATAGGTGAGTTGTTACTGCGTGTGCTCTGGTTTTTATCTTTACTGTAACACAGTAAGAATCCATGTTAGATATAATTTTCTGAAATCCACTTTGCTCAGCCATAATTGAAGATGCTGACATCCTTTAATTCCTTCAAGAAAATTTCCCTCTATTGGGCACAAAGACTGTGGGAAAACTCAGCTCATTGATGACTGGTTGCTAATGCCTAACTGATCTCAGCCCACAGGCAAAAAGAAGTTGAAAATATTATCTTTTACATTGTCAGTTGTATAGGGCCTACTCTGCTTCTCCAGCAGCATGGTATTAAGTTTGGTTTGATAATCAAAAGTATGAAATACAGTAGACTTAACATAGTAGCATGTTAACTTTAAGGAAGTCCACAAGACAGATAATAACACAATACACAGCAACAGCCAAGCTGAGGGCTTTTGACTCAATTTATATCACAAGATATGGGGCCTACTGTGCACGGACCATTTCAATTTAGGTAAGCCTTCAAATCTGAAGTATTTTCAGTTAAGTACTTATGCAGCATCCTCAGAGAAATGAGTAATTACTCATTACTCAATATAAAATCTTAACAAGGAGGTATGACTGCTTTGTCTAGTATACTATCCTCATCTGGACTTTCAATTTACTTGGATTTCCTATAAATTTATTCCTATAAATTCTTTGAGTTACTTGTGTAAAGACCCTCCAATCAAGTGTTAAACAATCAGGCATCCTTAAGTCTGAAAGTAAGGTCATAAACTGGCTATTGATTTTTTCTTTTTGGTCAACATAGGCCTACTGAAACTGGTTCTTTAGAATAAATCGAACTACCTAAATAATCAAAAAAATCCAGAAGTTTTTAAGGGCAATGAAAAGTCAAAAATTATTATCTGTTTTCTATACTACTAGATAAAAATAACACTTAATTTTTAAAAGTTGTCATTGAGAAACAATAAGCCAAATATAATAGCAAATTTTATGTGGAACTGGTGCATATGAGAGTGGTGGGATAGCACTCAATGCATGTAAGTATATACTATTAGTAGTAGTTTTGTCATTGTTATTTTTAACTTTTCAAAATGTTCTACAATGACATAGTAGGATAGCCAAGGACTGTATTCCATCATGGGGCCAATAAATTGACATTGAAGGGTTCTGTCACTCACATTTCTTGAATCAGATCTTTAACAAAAATGAAGGACACATCCAGATAACATTTTGTGAGAGCAGGAAAGAATTTCCTGAGTACATATCACTAAAACAGATTTATGCAAATTTCATCGATTAGCTGGCAAAGCTAACAAGGCGTGATGGCCTCTGTAATCCTCATTTCATTCCTTCTACTCAAGCTTTGTGTGGTTTTGAGGTTAAGCAACAAAAATCACACCTCACTCAAGGCCTATTTGAATTTGCATGCATTGGGGTCTTGTACTTTGTATGTGTTTTTATTCTTCATTTCATTTTTTGAGAAATTTACTTTCAGAACATTTTACAAAACTATAATTCTGCAGCAAAGTGAAAATGAACAGGTCTTTCACCACTGATGGTTTCAAAAGCACTACTGAAGAATTAAGAACTCAGGGTGGTGGCTCTTTCTGTATTAAAGGTTCCATCAATGCTTCACGTGGTTTGATCATTAAATCTGTATTCTTATCAAGCGTGATTTACAGATCTTGTCTCATTTGCAGAGTAAAGTTGACAGATGACAGATGAATCCTGAGCCAGCTTAGGATATTAGCTCCAAACATTTATCTTATCAGCCATACTCAGATGATTCATCATTTGATATTCCCTGGGAAAGGGTGGGGGTCCTTATCACAGGCTTTTAATTATATTTTTATAGTATAAGACAGTTGAATCTTAGGAGTTCTAGATCACATAACTTCCAGAATGAAAGAAGAAGGCAGTTCTGTTATACTTCTATTAAAAATGCTCAAATGATGTAAGTCACATTTATACATGGATATTCTCACTAGACATATGCCAGATAAATATCCAACATTCAGAAATGGATTTTTTTAATGACATTTTAAAATAGTTCCCAGAGTGGCAAAGGAAAGAACAGTTTTGGGACCTTCACATGTCCGAAAATAACACAATAAAATTATTTAAATAATTTTTAAACTGTAGCTATTTGAGACACTTCATAACATAGATATTTACTAAACAAAGAAATGAGCATTTTTCCCAAGTTATAATTAATATATATTAAGTGAGATATATATGAGGGTACTTCAAAAAGTTCACAGAAAGAGTTGTATAATATTTTAATTCCATTTTTCCACAAATTTTTTGAAGTACCCTCTTATAGTGAAGTGGTAGATCACAAACTGCTCATCTCATCCAGAACCTGTAACAAATGCTTAGTAGAGTGCCTAGTAGAGTGACTACTTTGGGTAGCTCTGTGCTACAGTACTCTACTTATGAAAAACTGAATTCTTTACTTAATATTCCTTAATTATTTTTAAATCCACGTGCATTGTTCATGATAAAACATGTGGTATAGATGTACTGAAGGGGGTAGTATGATGCAAACATACCAAACTTTTATGATATAAGATAAAAATACGCTAAGTGTTTATGCTAAATTTGACATTTTTGTCATCTTAAAAACAGATCTCCTGAATAAGAATCAATGTAAAATCAGTTTTGACTAGATAACATTACTTTGATTCTCAAAATTTCATTTTTCTAAGTTGCATGAGCTGCTAAAGAAATAAGAAAGGCATATCAAATCCCTGTGTTTTAAATGAATTAGCATTCTAACAGAACTTTCCTCAAATGAAGTTATTTTTAATTGGATATTAAGCCTCTTGTAAATCACGTAGTATGGGACGTTATAGACTAAATGAAACTATAGAAGCAAAAAGCAGGAATTTAAAATGAGCATTAGTGGGACACATCTGATCTATTCTTTTATTCCTGAATGGATGCATTTAACTGGCTAATACTGGTGCCTTCCTTTTTTTATCCGCCTGTCATATTTTTTTATTTATTCTTTAAATATTAATTTACTTTTTATTTGCGTTTAGTAAACAATATCTCTGTCTTGCTTTCCCAATTTCAGGTTTTGGTCCTATCCCGGGTTGTTCCACATTGCAGAAAGAATATGCCCCACATACATGTGCAAAATACACCAAAAGTCAATCCTCGTTTTGTATCCAGCAACATGTATTCTAAATCTGAAAGGATTCTGCTTAGTTGGATGAACACAAATTATGAGAATACTCGACATATTATATGGGGAAACTGTCAAAAAGGTGAGAAGTTATTTTTTCTTTGAATAAATTACTGCAAATTGTAGTGTGACAATGTGGAAGAAGCCATGTGACCATGATCAGAATCCATGCATTCTAGATCTGACTTCAGTATTTACTCTGTTCTGCAAAAACGATACCCCTTTAACATCTTCAAGATCAGTTTCCTTACATATAAAATGGAAGCAATAAAAGATATTTCTTTAATTTATTTGGAAGAAAAAATGATAAAAGATGCTGTAGAAATAAAAGATAGTCTTAATATCATTGGTGGTATTTTCAATATAAAAATAAAGTACAAAGTATTAGATGTAAATGACACTGTTCAAACTTTGTAAATAATTAGTTGAGATCAAGTGAAATTTGATCTTACAAATTACATGTTATACGAAGGTCATGTTGGAAATCACTAAGTGCAAAAATACTTTATGATTTTTCGGGGGGGTGAGGCAGGTAATATTAGGTGTATATACTGAGACATGTAGGTGTTTGCAGGATAAGTCTCTATAAATTTCTATTCCAAGAACTTTAAACTCTTTTTGAAAATTTTCAATTCCTAATATAGCCGGGGGGGGGGGTTTGTTTGTTTGTTTTTGTTTGTTTTGGTTTTTTGTCATCATAAGAATTGATTATGGTAAGAACAGTGTGCATGGTCATAGTTTCTTTAGCTTCAATCCAGCTCCCCTCTTCCAAGTACATACAAATCTGTTGTGTTCAGAGTAGGTCGCATTTTAACGTATGATTCATTTCTTATACCAAACCCTCAGAGTTTAATTCAAACGTTACAACTAAGGGAAAGATTAAGAATGTGGTTTAAAATTTGACCTTGAATTATAATTACTCTTAACCTGAAGGTGTTACTTTGGAGAACTTAGTGACATGAAGATTGAAAGAGATATATTGGTATTTGAGAATAGTAAACATAGAATACTTTATTATCTTCTAACTGACATGCTGAAAATATCAAGATTCATATGCCTTAAAAGCATACTTGCCCCATTTAAAACTTTAATGAACAAGGTGCAAATAAATAGTCACAAGGTGGGTTACCCAAACACACATAAGTAGTTTGATTATTGTGAATAACACTTTAGCCAGAGTGTTATAAAATATGTGTACTAGAAATTAATATAATACTTTGTTATAAAATTATTATGGTTCTACATTTACCAACAGAATGGGCTATACAAGTTAATTTCAAAAAGTTTTCCTCATTTTTTAGAATACATTATAGGCATTTAACCCTTTGCTGTTTTTTAACACACTGAGTCCCATACCTTTGCAAGGCCTTTGTACTTTCTGTTCCTTCTGCCTGGAGCATTATTTCCATGGATACCTTCATGGCTCGCTTTCTTATTTTATTCAAGTCCATGATCAAAAGTCACCTTATCTGAGAAGGTTTCTCAATACTCTCTCTAAAATAGTATGTGCTTCAGTCCTTCTCTTTCTTGCACTACATTTTTGCTCAGTAGCACTTTTTCAGCATAACATATGTACTTGTTTATTGTCTATCTCTTCCAGTAGAATATGATCTTCTTAATAGCAGGAATCTTATATATTTTGTACACGTCTGTGTTTCCAGAGCTTATAATTCTGCCTGGTAAATAACAGAGACCTCCAGTCTTAGTTTTGTGCTGCAATAGCAGAGTATCTGAGATTGGGTAATTTATAGAGAACAGAAATTTATTTCTCACAGTTCTTGAGGCTGAGAAGTCCAAGTTCCAGGCACCAGCAAGTTTGGTGTCTGATGAGGGCTGCTCTTAGTTTCTAAGATAGTGCCTTGTTGCTGCATCATCTGAGGGGGAGGAATGCTGTGCCCTCACAAGGCAAAAAGCAAAAGGGCAAAAGGGACAACCTCCCTCCATTAAGCTCTTTTATAATGTTATTAATCTATTCATGAGAGTGGAGCCCTCATGTCCCAAACCCCTCCCAAAAGCTCCACATCCCCACACTATTGCATTGGGGATTAAGTTTTCAACACATATATTTGTGGGGGAGACACATTCAGACTATATAGCAATGCCCAAATATTGGTTGAATGAATAAACGAATGAATGAATGAGTGAATAAAGAGACACATGAAATTTTTATACACTTTCTACCTTATTCCAGATAATTGTATTGTATTAGCTTACTAGTTTATACCTTCTGGGTCAAATGTCAGGTTGAATGGTTGATGTAGGAGAATGAGACATTTTCCCTGTTCAGCATGTACCCAAGTACAGGTATACAGGGTTAGTTTGTGTGTGTGTGGGGGGGTGGGAATGGTCCGTGAGGAGAAGCTCTAGGAAAGGTTTCACTTAGGTTAACCTGGGCTGAGACATAGTCATAACCAATGCCCCAGATTTTTACCTCCCATATTGAGATTTATTCTACTTACTCCCACTCCATTGGTAAAGTCTGAACATATTTACAACTTGATGCAGTGGTATTGTGGAGAGTAGATGTATAGGGCCTCACCCCAAACATAATGAATGAGAAACTCCTAGACTGGGGCCCAGTAATCTGTACTTTAAAAAGATCTCCAGGTGATTGTGATGCATGCTAAAGTATAAAAAAATAGACCAGAATACCACAGAAAGGGCTTTCATTAGTGTTTTTAAATGGTTCACAAACTGGTATTTGTTCAACAATTGCATTTCTTTTTTTTTTTTTTTTTTTTTTTAAAGATGACCGGTAAGGGGATCTCAACCCTTGGCTTGGTGTTGTCAGCACCACGCTCAGCCAGTGAGCAAACCGGCCATCCCTATATAGGATCCGAACCCGTGGCCTTGTTGTTATCAGCACCGCACTCTACCGAGTGAGCCACGGGCTGGCCTAACAATTGCATTTCTAAAGAAGTCCCCCTTTAAGCAATAATTCCTTTGATGCAATAATAACTGAGCATTTTACCAAATTAATGTCAGACGCCAAACCTGGTGGCTCCTTGATCTTGGACTTTCTAACCTCCAGCACTGTGAGAAGTAAAATTCTGTTATTTATAAATTACCAAGTCTCAGGTTTTCTGTTATAGCAGCACAAACTATCAGCTAAATGTTTAAGGAAGAAATCCTACAAAAATCTCTACAATCTCTTCTAGAAGATAGAAACAGAGGGAATACCTTTCAACTCATTCTATGAGGTCAGCATTACCCTAACACCACAACCAGACAAAGACATTAGAAGAAAAGAAAACTGCAGACCAATAATTCACATGACCAAAAATGCAAAAATCCTCAACAGAACATTAGCAAATCAAACCCAACAAAATATAAAAAAGAATTATTCATTGTGACCAACTGAGATTTATCCCAGATATGCAAAAGACTGGTTCAACATCCAAAAACCATTTAATGTACTCCATCACATCAACAGACTAAAGAAGAAAATTCACATAATCCTATCAATAGAGGCAGAAAAAAACACTTGACAAAATCCATCACCCATTCATGACAGCTATGTCTCAACTGTCAAGTTGAGGAACTTGATAAAGAACATCTACAAAAAAAAAAAAAAAAAAAAAAAAAAAACTAAAGTTATCATAGTTAATGGCAAGAAGCTAGAAGCTTCTTTTTTAAGATCAGGAATAAATCAAGGATGTCACCTTTCACCACTCCTTTTCAACATCATACTGACAGGCCTAGATACTGAAATAAGACAGAAAAAAAAAAAGATACATAGACTGGGAAAAAAGAAATAAAACTGTTTTTGTTTGCAGATGTTATGATTACCTGTGTAGAAAATAAAAATGAATTGACAAAAAACTTCTGGAGCTAATAAGCAATTGTAGCAAGTTTGCAAGATACAAGGTTGACATGCAAAAGTTATTCACCTTCCTAAATACCAACATTGAACAATAGAATTTGAAGTTAAAAACACAGTACCATTTACATTATCACTCTCCCACATGAAAGAGATGTAAATAAAATAAAATATGCATAAGATATATATAAGGAAAACCACAAAACTCTATTTATAAATGCGAAAGAACTAAATAAATAGAGACATATTCCAAGTTCATGGATAAGGAAACTCAATATTGTCAAGCTGTCAGTTCTTTCCACTTGATGTATAGATTCAACATAATCTCAGTCAAAATCCCAATGAGTTGTTTTATGGATGTCAACAAACTGATTCTAAAGTTTATGTGAAGAAACAAAAGACCAAGAATAGTCAACACACTATTGAAGGTGAATAGCTAAGCTGGAGGACTGACACTACCTGGCTTCAAAAATTGTTACAAAGCTACTCTAATCAAAACAGTGTGATATTGGTGAAAGAGTATACAAACAGACATTGGAACAGAATAGAGAGCTCAGAACTAGACCCACATAAATCTAGTCAACAAAGAGATAATACAGTGCAGTGGAGATAAGATAGTCTTTTCAGCAAATAGTGCTGGCACAAGTGGACATCCACATGCCAAATTAAACAAGCAAAAATAATCTAGACACAGACCTTACTTCCTTCACAAAAATTAACTCAAAATGTATCATAGACCCAAATGTAAAACACAGAACTAAAAAACTAAAAATCATAGAAGAAAATCTAGATTCCTTGGGTTTGGTGATGACTTCTTAGATACTACATTAAAGACATAATCCATGAAAAAAAATGATTGATAAGCTGGACTTCATTAAAATTAAAGACTTCTGCTTTGCAAAATACACTGTGAAGAAAATGAGAAGGCAAGTTACAGACTAGGAGAAAATATTTGGAAAAAAACATATATGATAAAGGACTGTTATACAAAATATATGAGCTCTTAAAACTCAACAATAAGAAACAAATGACCCTACTAAAAATTGGTCAAAGACCTTAAGAGACATCAAAGGAGATAAACAGATGGCACATAAGCATGTGAAAAACTACTCAACTCATAATGTTAGAGAAATGAAAATTAAAACAAGGAGATGCTACTACACTCCTACTAGAATGGCCAAAATCCAGAACACTGACAAAAGCAAATGCTGGTCAGGATGTGGAAAAACAGGAACTCTCATTCATTGCTGGTGGGTATACAA